GAAACATATTTAACATCGTTCTATCGTTTCCATGAAGAAATATTAAACTTAACATTTTTCCTTGAATTAACATTCGATGGCTCTCATTCTGGATTAATTTCTTTTATTCAACTACTTAAAGATTTTAAACATGTTGATTATTATTTATTAAATTTTATTACACAAGTTAATGAACCATTGAGCGAAATGAATGTTATTGTTGATCAAAAGAATAGATGTCGATCAATAAATGAATTATTGGATAAGACAATTCTTTCTCAACCCTATTTACGTCGTGTTAAATATTATCAACAAATATGTTTGAAAAACAAATTAATTGAAAAATTTCAATGTTTTTATGATGAACAATTAATGTGTTTATGTGATAAAACAAATCACGCTTATTGTTTTAATATTAATTTAACATATAGTGGATGTCCATGGAATAAATGTAGTGAAAGAGGAATTTGTATAAAAGATCACGAATTGTGTCCAAAAAATTCATTTTGTCTTTGTAATTCATGTAGTTATGGATCAGTTTGTCAATTCTCAACTGAAGGATATATACTTTCTCTTGATGCTATTATTGGATCTCATATAAAACCAATGATTAGAAATCTATATTATCAAACAACTACTATTCAAATAACTTTTTTAATTATTATTATTTTATTTATTATTGGAATGATTCTAAATATATTATCAATTGGAACATTTAATAATCGAACTACACAAGAAGTTGGTTCGGCATTTTATTTATTAACATCAGCATTTCTTGGTCTTTTAACAATTATTTTATTAATGTGTAAAATAATTTTATTATTATATGATAAACAGAATAATGCAAGTTGTTCATTGATTGAATTTTCATTTAAATGGTTTTTAACAAGTTGTGAATGGTTAAATTCATGTGTTGCCATTGAACGATGCTCAGCATTATTATATAAAACTCATTTTTCTCGTTCAAAAAGTAGATATATATCGAAATGTTTAATTCCAAGTATAATTATTTTACTTGGTTTAATATCATTACCAGAAATATTCTTTCGACAAATGATAATTGATGAACAAGATAAACGAAATTGGTGTGTTTTTACTCTTAATAATGATAGTCGACCAAAGATTTTTAAATGTTATATTGCATCAAATTTATTTCTATTCTTTGTACCAATAATTATTAATTTAGTAA